GCAAAAAAAAGTAAAACTCTTTAAGTTCTGATTGCTCTTTTAAAGTGAGATATAAATGAATAAATAGATATCTTTTTACAATATTCTACAATTTTCTTATCTGAAACTTCTTTTTGATCATAATTTGCGATTTATACTAGCAATAGATTTTATATCTAAAAATGTTCAAATTGCCAAATGAAACTATGTGGTGCATCTCTATATATTTACCTTGATATATTTGAGAGTTGAAAATAATCGAATAAGAAAATGAGCAACACAGCCGTAGTACCTGTCTTTAATGAGAGTTTTCTCATGAACTCGTATTATTTGATTAAATTTGAAAAACTACATTAAGATTTGTATTGTATACAAATCAGCAGATAATTTCACTGATTTCGTGTTATATGAAAAAATGATGCAAGAAGTAATATTATCCAGAATTTATCTAAACTTATATACGATAGAAAATAAAAACCAAAATTATTAATTAAAGTGGAGATAATAATAAGTAACGACAGTTGTACGAGTAGAGATATTTACTAATATCAAATAAACAAGTGAAATGTCTTTTTTAGAGACCTTAACTTCAACAGTTTGAGAATCTCAGACCTCTGTCTATGCCGTTGTTTATTAGCTACATAAGAATACACCACAACGTTCTAATCTCGAAAGCAAGGGTCTGAATGCTAATCCTCTTTCGTGAGAAAGATTTGAGAAAAAAAGCAATTTTGTGTGTTCCGGTTTAAAACAACGTTATCCGAATATTAAAATACAACCTAAAAACGAAAATACAGAGATAAAACTGAGGTACTTTTGCGGCAAAACTTTGACAACTTTTACACCAAGCTTGTTACATGTCTAAGATGGTTCTGCAAAAGATTATTTTGCATAAATACATATGTGAATAGGTTTAGATCCTTTTGGTTCAAAACATATGCTAATAAATAATAGACAGATAGAAACTTTCCGAAGGCTAGAAAATGTGTATATTTTTTTTATCTATCTGAGTAATTAGACTCTACATATGGAAATATATCATGGATAAGCCAACCGGTGAGTTGTCTTCTAAAAAAACGAGATTGTCAAGGAAAAGGTTCATCACAGCAGCTCAAAGTTCTGATTTCTGTTCAAAACTAAATTCTGAACTTTTTTCTTAATGAATTACTACTATCTTATCTTTATGATCCAATGCATCAAAGTCACACATATGAGTCTAAAACGGTGCAAATAGAGATAAGAAACGGGATATTTGTAATTTGTAATTCAGTTATGCGTTATATAAATATAAACACATACTAAAATACTGACTCGTTTAAATTTTGTTTACACCATATATGAGTGCAAACACGTGCTCGATAAATTGAAACATTGTTACATAGAAATATGCACACGTGCAATTTTTAAACTGCGTAGATGATAAGAAAACACATAATTTTAAGCTATTGGAAAAAAAAGATGCAAATTTAAATGGAGATATACGTATAATAGTCTTCTATAACTCCAGGTTGTCTGGACCGCCGAATGGAACCGCCTGAATTCGAAACAAAAATTTCACAGACAAAAGTTGTCCAACAACTTATAGACATTTTAAAATCCAAACAAGCTATTTTTCAATAGCAAGAATGTTTTATGAAAAGAAATATTCTTATTAAAATTCAAAACACGATATAAATGTTATCTGAATAAAAAGCCACAACTTGGAGCAAAACGTTACTTTTAACACGTTATTAGGACGAGTTATAATGATGAGTTGGTATATAAAAGTTGCCCACGATGTCAGTCCAGAAAAACGAGATTTTAAGAAGCTGTATAAAACTAAAAACAAACATGAAATACAAGTTAGATATTTCTACCTGGATTACCTGAAAAGTTCTTCTAATAATAAGAAGCACCTGATAAACAATTATAATTTTATTAAAGCAAATTTCTGGTCTATAAGATGCATTACAATTTATAGAAATCTTTAATTTTCTAGCCTTAACAAAATTGATAAATTTTTTGGAAATTTTCTTCTTAAAAACGAACAGCAAGAATTTATTGAGTATCTTTCTCATCAGTATCAAAGAAATTCTTATCCTAAACTAATTGAAACAAGAAAGCAACTGTCAAGGTAGAATAATTTATTAATAGCAAGTTGCATAAACTTCCCAAAAATTGAATATATTAATATTTTATAAAAATAAGCCTTCGTGAGAATTATATATTACCATACAAAGTATCACCAACATTGTCAAACAAAAATTTCTCAACAAATTGATATCAAAGACACGGTTCGGCCGATCTTACACAAATCTAATCATCAAAATTCCCAACTAATATTTCTGGAAAGCTTTTGAATTTTCAATACCAGATCTGGATTTTCGGCTAAAATGTGGACAAAAAGATTTGCACTTTTCTGCTAATTATAAAGAAACGACTGGTCTGATAGTCACAAGACTAATCAATGAGAGCCTTTATTGAGATGCACCAAATGCCCTGAAATTTGGATTTAAAACTTTTTTTTAAAAAACCTTCCATGAAACTAAAACCCATACCGTCTTGTAAGATATCTTAAATTTAAATAATAATATAAATATAAATTTTAAACCCGCGGTTTCAAATAAATTTTTTAGCAAAAGCAAAACTTCTTTTTCGAGAGTCTTGCATCAATCTACAACCATGTCATCTTGTATGAAAGCTAAAAGATTCAAACCCCTGGTTTCAAATGGAATTTCTAGCAAAAGCATGGACTTCTTTTTCAATATTGCTTCAACCTAAAACCTTATAAGAAAGCTAAAAGTTTCAAACCCCTGGTTTCTAATAGTTTTTGTAGCAAAAGCATGAACTTCTTTTTCAAAAACCTTGTATCTACCTGAAACCATGTAGTCTTGTAAGAAAGCTAAAAGTTTCAAACCCGAGTTACAGATGGATTTTTGTGGCTAAAGCATGAACTTCTTCTTCAAGAACTTTGCATCAAACTAAAACCTGGTAAGAAAAGATTTTTAAGTGAAAGCATGAACTTCTTTTTCAAGAATCTTAAGTCAACCTGAAACTATGTCGTCTTGTAAGAAAGGTAAAAGTTTCAATCCCGAGGTTTCAAATGGAATTTGTGGCAAAACCATGAACTTCTTCAAGAACTTTGCATCAAACTAAAACCTGGTAAGAAGTTTAAGCTAGGAGTTTCAAACCCCAGGTTTCAAACGGATTTTCTAGCGAAAGCATAAACTTGTTCTTCAAGAACCTTCAAAAGTTTCAAACCCCTGGCAAGAAAGCTAGATAGGTCACTCTATCACGAATCTGCCGACAAATTAAATTTCCCTAATAATATTAATCGTATGCAAAACTATTCCGTCTTGCAAATGTGTCCAGACCCAGACAATGGTTAGCTGACGAGTATTTATTTAGTTATGCTTATTTTTCTTTAATTACGCACAGACATTGCATTGTGTGAGTGTGAGGAAAAACATTGTAATTTCGTTTAC